GTTAGCAGGGAATGAGCCGTCAGAAATGACGAATCTGGATTGCCGTCATTGAACAGTTGCTAGAAATGTTGAGCTGTTCTTTTCGTGTGTTCATAATGACCTGTCAGTGGGACACTCTTAACATGTTGGATAAGGATAAACTGGTTCCCTTGTTTGTCCAACAACGGCTTTGAACACCGTTCACTAGTCACCTTTTTCTGTTGCTTTATCGATATTCCTGATTTCTACTTAGTGTCTAAGTTTGCTTGAACGAGACGGCAATCAGCTGTCTTCAAAGATACAGTACGGTTTTGCAAGTACTCTTTTGTTCGATTCCTTTGCACTCTAAGGGCTAAAGACTTTTCCGTATCCCAGGGCAGTGAACCTATTTATCCAGTGAAGGGGAGCTTAAACTAGTGTCAACAAAGAATCTTGCTTTTCATTATAGGTCAAATACACAAATGGTTACACTCAATATGCGAATGGCAGTTCATCTGAAACAGAGGTTTTGAACCTACTTTGCTCAGTTCCCCCTTTCACCATAGTTCAGACTATCATTCCCCCTTCCCAAGATAGTCTAACTCAAAAGATGCATTTCAAATAACGTTGAAAATATTTTATTTTGTCTGTATCAGTACATATACATTTATTTTGGTATTTTGCGGTAGAGTAGGAATGTTGGAATGTTCAAGGTTGAAAAAATTTAGGGTCTTTATATTCAGAACTAAATATTTTACAGACTTAAGCTGCTTAAGCATATTACGATAAACAAAATGTTCAATAAGATTCCAGAGTAATACTATTTATTTTTGTTCGATGAAGATTAAAATCAATGAGAAACCTGTGATTATTTTTCCTTTAACAGTTCTTAGATACGCGGACGAACGCTTAAAACGGCACCATGTAGGTCATCTTCAGCCTCCAACCGACTTCGTTATCTCGCTTTTATTTGCAACAGACTTCAAAAGCCTGACTCACGGAAATATGTCAAAAATAACTCAAATATGACTTACACAAATGAAAGTAATCAAAAGCATGAATTGCTTTTTCTGCCACTTTTGGGTACAAGTCGCACATCAAGGGCCAAAATTCTGTGATTGATTTCTCATCATTTCTCACCATCTCTTGTTC